CAAACAACTCAATCAATCTCAGTTACACCAATCAAGTCACCAAAACCGATTCAGTCCAAATCCCACTGTATTTACCAATTCACATGTAACTGAGGAGAAAGTTACTTGGGTAGGACAGATCGCCGATTGGAAGACAGGAGAGGTTAATCAAATCCATGATTCATCCGCCTAGCCAGTCTTCTCAAAATCGATCAAGAAACCCAGCCTCATCAATTGCAAATCATCTAATGATGAGTGGTCATCAAATTGACCCAAAAATCAGCCTTTATAGATTTGTGATATGTCATCAAAACCCACACACACTCAAACTACTTGAAGCTATCTTGATTGGTCGGGAAAGTCCAACTTTATGTTCAAGTCAACAAAACTGTATGTTGACCTTTGTTTACCATGGTTCTAGTGAGTGAATGTCATGACCTTATTTTCAAAACTGTATTTACACAAATAACATGTTGCTTGTATGTGACTGACGAGAAATGGTACACGAAATGGTACTATCTCACAAAATATGTCTTCTCATTTCTCTGTTCAAATTTATCTAAGGGAACCACTGTTTTGACTATTTTTTTAGAATACAATGCTTTCTCTAGCACAACACACTGATTGATTTGCTGACAGAGATTATTAACGTGCAAAATTTTTCCATGATGTCTCAATCTTTCATTTATCATTATCTTTCGATTAGAGTTATGAAGATCACTGAGTTTACACAAAGCAATTACGAATCAATCAATCAATCACTGTTAGACCACTACAATTAGATGCGCACTGACACTGATGAGTCTCATACACTTGGACGAAACAGCCGTCCATCAATATTCCCTGGTTTCTAATGGTGGTGGTCCATGACAATCATTGATTGATTGATGATTGTTGAAGAATTACTTCAATATTCTATAAGTAACATTTATAGTTTTGGTCAAACAATAGAAAGCCATGTATTCACTGATTTTTACTTACCATTAGAAGTTAGTAAGTTTGTAAATTTATTTATATTATAGGCCCAAAATGAAAGAAAAGATTTTATTCATGAGTCTTTGAAATGATGAATATTATGCGAAATAACACTGTACTAACAAAATTGAAGGAAAAACACGTTACATAAAACTTAATTACATAAAAATATGATGAATTTTCCACTGAACTCTTTATGAACTAGTTAGTTATAAAAGTCAAAGGTTAGTTACCCTAATGTTAGACAATAGTGAATGATCTTTTTTTTAAAAAAAATTGACCATGATATTTTATGATAAATGGAAATTAGTTTCGATTAAATTGAGTGTTTATAACAAAGTATATGAATAATGAAGATTATTAGCTTAAATCAGGGATAAAACCAACCACATACATGAGTACACTAGTTAATACAATTTAAAACTACACATATATTACTAAATTGTATACTGTCAATTGTGTAATTGCATTAATGGGGTTGTGGAGATAGTTGAGTTACTGATTGAAATCATGAATCTATCAATGTGAGAATAACATTAGAAACCTTGAATTACGGCACGTCTATTTCTCCGAATCTTCGATTTCTAAGGGGGTTGGAAGTTGTGACTAGTAGGGTTCAGTCCTTTTCGGTTGTAGGCAGTAACCACTGAAGACAGTGTACAAGGTTGCGCAACACCGTCAATTGATCAAAGTTAGATATGTACACCGTTAGTGATCCAGAGGTTAGTCGTTCTGTAGTGAAGGAGAACACAGGTGACGGCAACCGAATTGTATTTAACGAAAATTACAGAGTTACTCAGTATAATAGGAAAACCATTTCGTAAACGGTTAATTTGCAAATCTTCAATCCATCATCAATCCATTGTCTGACATTTCACTGTTGTTCATGCATTTCATACAAATTCCATTGTGTTCCCACTCTTCCTTTCTCTTGATCTTCCCCCCATCTTCTGCTGCCAGACATTACGTTTACACTCGCCTCATATACTACTTATAAGTAGCTCACACCACAGTTCGTCTGGCGGTTTTGAATCCCGCGAGGTGCAGGAGTCGTGGATGTGCACTTCTGATGATGTGTCCCATATCAGGCATGAAATGACTTTCCGATTTCTAATACTGATCTAACAAAGATTGATTCATGATTTGAGTAAGAAGTAAATTTGTGTATATAACTGACAATTAAGAAAAATAGACAGTAAATATACACACAACACTTCAAAAAAATAACTTACCTAAAATTACTACATGGATGTATAATCCATTTGCCTTGTTCACGTTGCCTTCGTTTTTCACATGCTAATGCAACTTTATTACCAAACAATTTAAGTGCTAATTTATTATCGGATGGTTGAAAGAATGAAATGAATTGTTCTTTTAAATTATACAAAGACCAACCTCTTTCACGATAACTACTTTGATTATTAATAATGTTATTATTAGTAGTATTACTACTATTAGTATTATGATTATTACTATTAATGATACTTTGATGATGATGATGATGAAATGTACTTTTAGCATCCAATGATAATGGTTCTTCAATTTCATTAAGAATCGAATTATCCCCACCAATATCCATGTATGATACAGTTTCATTCACTGCTGATTGATAAGTTAATACATTCTTATCCTCCTCTGGTAAATTAATAGTATATCGACGTATATTTGATGGTTTTGACTGCTGTTTCATTATTGCACATGGTTTATGAGTAGTTGTATGCATAACATTTGGATTGGTATGTTGTTCATGAAATAATTGTAAACTACTTAACAATCCAACAGAATAATAACGAAAACGTAATTTATGATTGTGATTGAGTTTCTTTCTTCTGCAGTTATTTTTATCTTTACTAATTGGTAGTAATAATCTATCTGAGGTTTGTTCAGATAATTTTATACTTTCTTGTTGTATAGACATTTTGACTTTGCTTTATATGTACATATCAGTTGTATATTATAAGATTTCTAACTTTTGAATGACGATTTATCATTCATTGTGTTTGTTATCAGTGAAAAGTTGGAAATGGATTTCTTCCAAATAAAGTTAATTCATCAAGAATTTGTTCTTCAAATGATTATTACATGACACACACAGTTGTTGGATAACAACATGACACGGAAATAAATTGTAAATGATTAATTTTGAATTTTTTTTTACACGCATGAGACCATATTTGTTTGTAGAAATCAGTGTAATCTTGTAAGTAATTCGTTCATTTTATCCATACAAATAACATTCTGTCAATATTTTAATATTTTAGTTGAGTTCTATTAATTTTTTTTCTGTGCATTCATTGTTTAAATCGTTTGTCTGTTGAATATATTTGTGAATCTTCATTCAATTAAATAAAAAAAAATGGAAAAAAACCTTATTATTTTGATCTCTGCAAATTGATCTAAATTTAACCAATTATGTATGAGATGATCTGGACATTGGTAATTCGTTTTTCAACCAATCAAATTTTTGCCTAAACTTTTTATACGCTTGTCACAGAATTCATGAACAAAAACTTGCATTCATCTGTTCTAGTCATAGACAAATTTTGTATGCCAGTATGTGTCTTGTTTGTAATTTTAAGATGATTAATTATTCCGTTTTCTTTTTTTTGAATGTACTTAATTGAAAGTAGTTGTTTCGCATTATTTGCTAATAATATCATCAAATGATTTTTTGATCTATTGATGATGAAGAACCAATTAGAAAACATTCGTATGTAAAAATAGGCAAGAAGAGGAATATTCACAAAATATAAAGTAAACATATTATATTAGGGCTACTTAGATAGCTAACTGCTTGCTGTTACTCTCAACGGAGCATGGGACGCCAACCAGCATTCTCCAAACTTACTCTGTCATAGTGTAGTGAAGGAGAACACAGGTGAGGGCAACCGAATTGTAGTTAACGAAAATTACAGAGTTACTCAGTAAAATTGGAAAACCATATCGTAAATCATTAATTTGCAAAATATCAATTCATCATATCAAACTGGACTGTTCCTGTTGCAAAACATCAATCCATTGTCACTATTCATGCGTTTCATACAAATTCCATTGTGTTCCCACTCTTCCTTTCTTGATCTTCCCCCATCTTCTGTTGCCAGACATTACGTTGACACTCACGTCATATACTACTTATAAGTAGCTCGCACCACAATACGGCTACCGTTCTAGTTCTGTCTAAATGTTGTTCAGTCTTCTCATGTCTGTCTCTTTTACTTGGCGTAGTGTGTTTCTTGTCCTTCCTCTTTTCCTTTGACCTTCAGGGTTCCAAGTGAAGGCTTGCTTTGAGATACAGTTGGGTGTTTCCTTCAATATGTGTATCCTATTCACTTCCAGAGATTCGTCCTGATTTCTTCCTCCACTGGTACCTGTTTTGGTCTCTACCACAATAAGCTGTTGCTGATGGTATCCAGCCAACGGATCCGAAGTACTGCACAGATAACTATTAGTAAATAGCTGTATCTTGTGGATGATAGCTTTGGTAGCGCTCCAAGTTTCCGCCCAATACAGTAGAACTGTCTTGACATTTGTAGTGAAAATTCTGACTTTTGTGTTGGTCGGCAGATAGTTCCAGATATTGTTCACTTATACAAATGCTGCCTGTGCTCTGTGAACCTGCGCCATCAGAACTCCATCATATCTACCTTGCTAATCAATGGTGCACCACAGATATGTGAAGGTTTCCACATCGTTCTTAGCCTCTCTATCAAGTGTGATTTGGTTCGCGTATGTTGTGTTGTATCATAGGATCTTACTTTTGTCTTTATGTATGCTGTGACCTGCTGCTGCGGAGGCTCCTGCTACACTGGTCATCTTCTCTTGCATTTGTTGTTACGTAAGCGATAGAAAGCTCAGATCGTCTACGAACTGCTAGTTGTACAGCTGCATCCTAGCTGTCCACTGTATCCCGTGCTTCCCATCAGATTTTTACGTTTTCATAATCCAGTCGACCACAAAGAGAAAGAAAAAGGATGAGAGTAAGCAACTTTACCTGATACCGGTCTTTACTTTGAATGAGTCTGTGAGCTGTTGTGCATTCTTGATTTTACAGTTTAGTCCATCATAAGAATTCCGTAGGATGTTGACCATCGTCTGAGGCAAGCTGACTTGTCGAAGAAGTCTCAACACTATGGTCCCGTCCACATTGTCGAACGCTATCTCATAGTCAATGAGGTTGATGTGTATTATTCAATTCTGTTCAAATGATTGTTCCACAATGATTTTTCTGGTTAGAGTCAACTTTCTTGGGGATGTGGTCGCTAAATCCATGCCTAAGCCTCCTGCTTTGCCCAGGCTTGAGATCGGCAGTAACCTTAGAGGAGCCCCAGGTGGAGATTCTGGCCAGCTACTAACAGCCTAAAGTTACATTACTAACAACGTTTTACTAATAACGTTTTATTATATATTTTGAGCAAAGTATTTCAAACCACCAAACCACCGCAATATATGTAGGACTGTAGTCGTTTTGGTAGCCTGTGATGCGGAAAAATCGTAAACCTATTTTTCTACGCATCTGAATGGATTATAGTATAATTAGAAGACGGTTGTCAAGTCCTTGTATGAGACTCATCATTGGTAGGGCACATCCACTACTCCTGCGACTCGAAGGACTCGAACTCAGGACCTTCGGTCTTGCATTCGAATGCCTAACCTCTGAATCATCGAGGTCGGCATCCACCGAAGAAACAGCTGGGTGGATAACTCTTAATATTCAAAACAGTGGTTCCCTTTGAGAAATTTGAACAGAGAAATGAGAAGACATATTTTGTGAGATAGTACCATTTCGTGTACCAATTCTCGTCAGTCACATACAAGCAACATGTTATTTGTGTAAATACAGTTTTGAAGATAAGGTCAAAATTTCTTATTTAGCATGAAATTCACTCACTAGAACCACCATGGTAAACAAAGGTCAACATACAGTTGTTTTTGAACACATAAAGTTGGACTTTTCCGACCAATCAAGATAGCTTCACGTAGTTTGAGTGTGTATGGATTTTGATGACATGTCACAACTCTAAAGGTTGATTTTGGGTCAATTTGATGACCACTCATCATTATATGTTTCGCAATGGACGAGACTGGGTTTCTTAATCGATTTTGAGATGACGGGCTAGGTTGATGAATGATGGATTTGATTAACCATTTTGAAATATGTTCCCCTATCCTGTCTTCCAGTCGGCGATCTGTCCTCCCTAAGTAACTTTCTCCACAGTTACATGTGAATTGGTAAATACAGTTGGTGTTTGGACTGAATCGATCTTGGAGAGTTGATTGGTGTAACTGAGATTGATTGATTTGTTGTGATAAGCCTCAGATTAGCTGCATTGAAGGTCATCTCAAGATCGATCGAGAAACCCAGCTTCGTCCATTGTAAGACATCTTGACCTTATCTTCAAAACTAAATTTACACGAATTACAGGTTGCTTGTATGTGACTGATGAGAAAGCACGAAATGGTACTTCTCATAACTCTTAATATGACGACTACACCTAAAACGATTTTCATTATTTCCTCCACCATACAATTACTCTTGAAGTCAATGAATGATCTTGATACCAGAGAAACAAATAATTCTTCCAAGCCAACCAATTTATAAAAATACTAATAATAATAATCATTATAATAATTTATGAAAATGAACTGTCAGTTTTTTCTTTAAACCATCTATAAATAAAAATTTTCCAAATTCATTTCGGATAATAGTTTTTTTTGAATCATGGAGGCTTCTTCGACACTATGGTGTGCCTGAGAAAATAGTTAACATCATACACAATTCTTATGATGGATTCAACTGCGAAATCGTACACGAAGGACAGCTAACAGTCTCTTTTGAGGTGAAGACCGGTGTCAAGCAATTTGACTTACTCTCACCCTTTCTCTTTCTCCTAGTCATCCATCGACTGGATTATGAAGACGTCAACATCTGGAGGGAAGCACGGTATCAACTGGACAGTTAGGACGCAGCTGGACTTCGCAGATGACCTGGCTCTTCTATCGCACACTCAACAACAAATGCAAGAGAAGACGACCAGTGTAGCAGCAACCTCTGCAGCAGTAGGTCTCAACATACATAAAGGAAAAAGCGAAATTCTCCGATACAACACAACATGCACCAACCAAATCACTCACTCTTGATGGAGATGCCTTGAAGGACGTTAACACCTTTACATATGTGGGCAGCATCATCGACAATCAAGGTGGATCTGATGCAGATGTGAGGGCACGGATTGTCAAAGCGAGGGCTGCATTTCTACAGTTGAAAAATATCTGCAACTCCAAACAACTATAAATATACACCAAAATCAGGATTTTCAATACAAATGTCAAGACACTTCTAGTGCATGGAGCGGAAACCTGGAGAACTACGAAAGCCATCATCCACAAGATACAAATGTTTATTAACAGTTGTCTATGCAAAATACTTCGGATTCGTTAGCCAGACACCATCAGCAACAACGAACTGTGGGAGAGAACAAACCAGATTCCAGTTGAGGAGGAGAACAGGAGGAAGCAGTGGATGTGGATAGTACACACACTACGAAAAACACCTAACTGCGTCACGAGACAAGCCCTCACATGGAACCCTCAATGCAAAAGGAAATGAGGAAGGTCAAGGAACACATTGCGCCGATAAATACAGAAAGATATCAGAGGAATGAACAAAGATTGGACAGAACTGGAGAGGAAAGCCCAGTACAGACAGAGTTGGTTGGAGAAAACTGGTGGGCATCCTATGCTCCAATTGGGAGTAACAGGCGTACGTAAGTAAGTAAGTAAGTCAACCAGTTTGGATTATTCAATAATTTTGCTCATTTCGTATAATAAAGTCATAAGAATACTAATAATCATTATAATAATAATTTATGAAAATGAACTGTCAATTTTTTCTTTAAACCATCTATAAATAAAAAATTTTCAAATTCATTTCGAATAATAGAGTTATTTTTTTGAATCATTTGATTAGGATATGACTATTTTAAAAAAAAATGCAACTTTGATTTATTATAGGATGTAAATCAATGTACAGCATAAGTTGAATCAAATCTGATTTAATAATAACCGTATGCGATCATCAATCAGTCAACTGATTTTGCATTACGGGCAAAAACAAATATTTATATTCATCATGATTTATTTATCTAACAGAGTTAAGATTTGAACGTCAAATCTACTTTCATTATGTTGAATGCGTTGAATCAGTAATTCGTATGTAAACCATACAGTCAGTCAGTCAGTCAGCTGCAACGTAGAACTTCGTACGTATGTACATATAAGTTCATGTTGCCATACCATAACATTAGCACAG